TGATGAACAAAGAAACTTGTTACTAGTCATGATAAAGCTCGACGATATCAAAACTCTTTTTATATTATATATATCCATTACTGATCTTTTCTAATAGTCTTTAAAAATCATCAAAATTCTTACATTTTTACACAAATTTTTGACTGGATCAATTATTTTTACTTTAATAACCTTTTAGTAAAATAATATATTAAAACTTTTAAATTTGTAAAAGTTATAAAACTGATTATATTTAAAGATTCATATTTATAATATACATTCGTGAAATGGAAACTTGAATATAAATAGTAAACTAAAAAAGAATACTAAAAGTATACTATAAAAGAAAAGATAAGGCATGTGCTGTAAAAATGGATAAACTAAGAATTGAGAAAAAAGGAGATTACGTGAATACGTCATAGAAATAAGATAAAAAAAAGTAAAGATGAATGCATATCGTAACAACTTTCATATAATATGTATGCAACTATGTATAATCACAACTTGTAGTCATATACACTCACATTTAGCTTTAATAAAAAGAAATACAATAATAATTATATATATTTTTATAAATATTAATTATCTCTAAAGTAATATATTACTGGGTACATAATATTCAAATTTAACTAATTTTGATATCTTTAATATAAATATCAATATAATAATATAAAAATTATAATACTATAATAATATAATAACACAATATAACAATATAATAATATATATACTAATATAAATTTTCTTCATTAGTTTTTCTATTAAAACATTTTTTATTTTAATTTTGAATCAACTCAATTTTGATATACTACCTTTTTAAAATTTATAAAAAAATTTAACCAATAAAATGTATAATTAATTGTATAGCTTTAGTATTTAGACAAAATATTAATTTTCATAGACAATAGCTAGAAAAATATTATATTAATCGTGCAAATTGTACTTCGTAAGATGTTAGCTGCTTAGTTTCTATGCAAATATTATAATTTAAGAAATAAATTTTAGTCATATCGACAGCGTAATATACTGTTAATTTTGATGACGTAATTATCCAAATTTATTATATTAACATTATTGTGCTTGCTACAATTTCTTGATATACTTGATATACAATCATGACTAATCTCGTAATATGCTACATTACTAACTAATTCAGAATCATTGTTTCATCATTATCATTACTATTATTACATCTTATGAATTTTAATACTTTATTCTTTGTTTGCATTATATTTTGTAAAAATTTAATTCTTATATAAAAATTGAGATTGTTTTTAAATAGATCGGATTAAATCTAATTTACAAATTATTGTAAATAATATTGGATGTTTTAAACCATTTCACATTCAGGTATTTAATTTTTGTAATTTATACAATAAATGAATAATTTAAATAATAAGTAATTTTAATCCTTGCAATAGAAGAAATTATAAAAGTTCTTAAATCCTTTAGGGTTGCTTTTTACAATTTATTTTTATTTCTTGTTTATTCAAATTACTGAATTTTTATTATTAATAAATTTATAAACATTTATGAAATATTTTTATTTTTATAAACCTATATATTTGTTAAATAAACCATATTATTATTAATTATCTAGACTATTTATTTTATAATATAACAATAAAATTCAGAAATATACAAATAGAAGAACATAGCAAAATAGAATTTTAATTAAGAGCATGACGAACTATCGGGCCTCGCTAATAAATATCGTTATTTTGCACATAAAATTTAATTAATTATGGTCTATATAAGAAATAAAAATATAAATTATATTTAAATCGCAATTAACTTATATTTAAATTACAATATTCTCAATATAAATATGTATAGATATAAATGTGTGCATAACATACATTTTTATATACCGTTTTGTTAATAAAAGGAAATTATTATCATTCTCTATTGGGAGAAAAGTAAATAGCGTCTAAATGAAAAAAGAACTTAATATGAATCAATATTTATAGTAAAATACAGGAGGAAAAGCTTAGAATATAAAATTATGTTGCAACTTGGCTTTTTCTTCCATTTTTAGTCTAAATAAGAATATATAAGTTTTAACAAATCCTGCGCAATTTATTGAAAGCTGTCGAAGTCGAGTAAGTATCAAATTATGTATGTTACATGCGTGTACTACTGAGATATACAACGTTTTTTCAAAAGTTATTAAATCACAACAAAAGTAAATACAAAAAGAAAATTAATAAAGCTATAGAATAAGAGAAAATTTATTGAGCGGAGATCTGTAACACTTAAATCTAAAAATTTTAAATTTATTATTGTTTATAATTAATATTAATTATGTAAAAAATTAATGTATTATTAACGGTTTTATTAAATTTTATTGTGAATTATTTATTGGTGTTCTGATTTTAATGTTTTTCTGTTATACAACTAAAAATGATTAGAAATCCATTTTGCATACAAGTTTACACACAAAGAAAATAGTAATTAACTTAAAATAAAAATCATTTTTTAAGTTTGTAATGAGATTAAAAACATATATTATATGAGTTAATATATTCACTATTATAATATTTTCTATATAATAAAAAATAGTACAAACTAAATAATGTTTTTATAACAAAGCAATTATGTAGTTATTTACAACATATTCATTTTTCTTTGTCTTTTTTTTATTATGATTGAGAATATAAAAATAGAGATTTCTATGCATATGTACTTCAGTGTAAAATATTAATTTCTGATTTAATTAAATTGCATAATAAAAAATCACATTAAACATTTTAAAATAAAAATTTCGCATATTTACTTCAAAATAAATAATTTGTTTATTAAGAAAACTAAGATAATTAAAATCAACTAATAGGGTTACGCTCTTTATGTAATATGTAAAATTCACAATAATATTTTTTAGAAAATAAATTTTTAGAACCATACGCAATATAAAAACTATTTACAAATATATATATATATTTATATATTTGTAAATAGTTTTTGTTATATATATATATATAGATATATATATATATAATAGAAAAAAATTACATTATATTTTGAATTTCTAGTTAATTAATATTTCTATTAACAGAATGAAAATTAAAGTAGTTCAATAACTAACATTAAAGAATTGCTACAAAATTATATATTTGGTACACATAATGATATTATATATGTATATAGTATTTTCAGCATTTGGTAAATTATACATTCTAACGTACTTTTATATCTTGTCGGAAGATGGCGAAAGCTATCAGGAATAATTTTATAAATTTGATTCATTTAAATATAGACGAATCAGACTACAGTCGGTAATATAGATATTCTTGAATATCAGCAAATGCTTCTTATCACTCATCAAATGTTTAAAAGATTTTTACTTATATAAACATTATATATTTTTCAGATAATACATATAATAATCCTATAAAAAAAGGTTTTAATTGAAAAAAATTATAACAATGTTAGTAAATTATTTTAAAATACAAATAAAATTGTATTTTATAATTTCTTTTTTATTATAGTAATATGTTATATATTATAAATAATTGCATTTTTTATCTATTTAAAAAATAATTTATTTGAAAAATAATTTATTTAAAAAAGCAAATGTACGATCAAATGGAATGTAAAAAATCTAGAGTCCAAATATATATATATAAATATATTATTTACATTCTACCCATTTCATACTCATAAATATCTGTATTTCATAATAAAATTAACGAAATTATTCTGTTTAATATAAATATTAAAAATAGAAATATAATCTTTTATATTTTTTATTTATGAACTATATTAATCAAAAGCTAACTCAGAAAAAAAATATATTATACATAACTGTAAATTTTATTCTATATCTGCACTATATATGCACAGATATCAAATTTTCTTTCATCTCAATATCTCAATATTTTAAAGAAATAATATATATATTTATATTGATAAACATCACAAATATTTTTAATTATAAATTACTTTAAATTATATTTTTCGTAAATAAAAAATGAAATATTAAATAATTATAAATATTTATTTGTATACAAGAACTTATTTAGGAATTATTTTAAATAACTAAAATATATTGTTATACACATATAATGCAGCAGAAACTTAACTAATAAGAAATTATTTAAAATTATATTTTACGTAGATATTAAATAAAATTATTTTGACCTTATTATTTGAATGTTTTAAATGTTAAATAATTACACATATTTGTTTGTACATAAAGACTTATTTAGAAATTATTGAAAATAAATAAAATGCATTTCTATTAATAAACATAATGCAATAACAATTAAATATAAATATTATAAAAGTAATTACTATCATTGAAAACATTATGTACTATATTACATCAATAAAAACATTATATCAAAATATATAACTTTTATGAGTAAAATATACGTATTTATTTATGTACATACACTAAATTGAATGTATTATATTATATATAAAAACATACTAAGTTTTGGTTTGATGATTCGGTTAGTTTACAAGAGGTAAAGAACAGAATGAAATTCTCAAAGCGGTTGTCAACATTTAAGTAGTTCGTACTTTCCTAAAAATATATCGTATTCTTTAGCTCAATCATCTTAACTTCTGTTTATAATATTCTTAACCATGTTTTTTATTGTAAAACATAGAATTAAACTGTATTTTCAACAATTATTCGGTATAATATATAATTAGAATATAATATCAATTATTTAATATAAAATACAATACCAATTATACACCAAAAATATAATAATTAAATATCTGAGATCTTAAATATTTTTGTACAGACGCTTAAAGTAATAATATATGTTTATATTTACAAAGATATAAATAAATAATCTTTTCCGTTACAATTTTATATTTTTCATTATAGTTTTTCTCATTTAGAATACAAAAGTAATTCATGCATATTATATATTTGAAAAATATAATTTTAAAATAAAACATTATTTCAAATGTAAATGTTTACTGAAATTGTTAAAATCTTTTGTACACTGTTTGTAAAAAATGTATTATTTAACATATATCACATTATGTATTTATTTATATTTTTTTTCAATAATCCGAAGAAAGTATAAATAGCCATTTATCCTTGTGTATCGAAAAATCCATATTAGAAAGTAGGATGGGCAATTTAATGTTCTTTCTCTTTCACGTTTCTTCCACCAAGCCTAATTGAAGAGGAATGGTTGTACAATATTCATTTAAAAGATCCTAAACTTATGAAAAGAAAAACGTAGCAAACACAAATTAAGAAATTGTATGAAATAATATTTTTATGCCATTTTCAATAAAAAATTTTAATTATTAACGAAATATGTTAAGGAGTTTTGAAGTCAAATTTAAAGTCGTATTTAAAGTCAAGTTTTTGATTTTATATTATTTTTTGTAATTCATTTCTAAATTCTATTTCAAAAATGAAAATATATTAAAATATATTAAAATCATTAGTATTATAATAAATTTTTTATAATAAATTTTTTAAAATTATGTTGGAAATATAAAAATTATTTTCTCGCATTTGAATATAATTTTTTTACGAATTCATTTTACCAAGGCTCATATAATATTTTATAGTGGCTATTTTTACAATCACTTATTTTGGTGATTTTTTTCTTTGTTGTAAAAAAACTACTTGTTTTTATCATTTTTTTGACTAAATTTTTAATAACTACGATGGATCATTCACTCCTTTACTTTGTTTTTTTAAGTACTTCTCAAAGCGTAAAGTAAACTCTTATAAGATAATTTTAGTATATACAAAACACTTGCAAATATAATTGGTTATCAATCGTATATAGATATAGACATAAATAATTTTTATAAGAATTGAATTTTTTGAGTTTTTTCTTATAAATTTACAAATTAATTGATTATTTAATTATTTTTAAAGCGCAAAAGCTTATACTTTTATCAATTTCTTTTTCTTTTGTCAATAAAATTTTATAAATTTTTACATTTAACAATACTTTTGCTAATGTATAGATCAAAATATCATTTATTCTAAATTTTAAATTGTATCAAAATTATTAAATTCATCTTTTCTATAAAGAACTTATTTAATGTATAAACCTTTATTTATATAAAATTACTAAAATTGGTTAAATTATTTTTTACTCATTCTATTCACTAGAGACTCACCAAGTAAATTAGTCTTAATTTCTTGTTTGTGAATAGCATTTGATAATCCAAGATTATTATTTAAATTTGTATGATTTTTCGGTTTTCTTTTCCTTGATTGAATGGCATCTTTCTTCATGCTCATCGGTCGATTCACCTTAAAATAAGATTGTAAGATTAAATAATTGAAAGATAATATATAATAATTTAATTAAATTTTTAGACCAATGTTATTTTTTATTTATTTATATAATAATCATTTATATAAAATCATAGTTATACGAAAAGATATTTTAAAATGCAAAAAAAAATATTTATACATCGACACATTACATTATATTATGTAACAATATGAAATTCATTAGAATATGATAAAAAATTGAAGAAACATTAAAAAATATATCATATATATATTACATATCGCATATAATTATTTTTCAATGAAACTGCTGTGCCCTGCTTTTATTAAAATTATAGACTGAAATGTTGTACGTTATTATATTTGGGAAGGATAGTATATTTAATGATATAAATTTATACTATTTACTGAATAAATACTTATCTTTATTCGTTCAAAAAGATTTGTAAGCAATCGTATTACTAAAATACCTAAACTTACTCGTTGACTACATTAAGCTCAACAGATAATCCTATTTTGAAACTGATTTTTTAACTAATGTTTTATGACTGAATATCTAACTAATTTATTTTATAAAAAATTACAATTATTATTAATACCAACTTAAAAAAAACATTGCTGAACGTAAAGGTACATCTTAAACTTTATTACTCCTTAGTAATAACAATTTTTCTACGGTTTTTGATATTTTTGAGATTATTATATATTATATATCATTGAACTAAATTTATCTGTTATTATTTCGAAAAATATAATAAAAAGAAGATTGATCAAACATGATATAAAAAATTACTAATATCATCATTAAATGAATACTATTTCCTATACTATCCTATAACTATTTCTTAAAAAATTCAATTATTAAATACAAATCAACAAATTCAAGGTCGCATTTTATTGATATGAATAGTATTTTAATAATAGAAATTCGGTTAGTTCAATTAAATTTATCTTTCGATAAAAATCACCAAATTCTTTTATCTGAAAAAGAGTACGTGACCGATTTGATAATTAAATTTACGACGCTTTCGTGCTAACATTCAATCTATATCTAACATAACTCAAAAAATCTCGAATTATAAACAAATTAATCAAGAATTTAAAAAAAAAATCATTTAATAAAATTTTCTGGATCAGATAGCATCAAAAGATGTATAAACAAACATGCAAAAAATATAGATTTTGCATCGTCTATTTAACAAATTTATCAATCGATTCATTTGCTATTAAATAAATAACTAAAAAATGTGCATAAATAATTATAATATATTTCAAGAAAATAAATTTTTTAATATATATTTAATACAGTTTTTACAATGAATTTCATGCATACTTGTTTTCTGCATAAAAAACAACCAATTTATCAAAAAATAATAGAATACATTATATGAATCAATAGAAAATAATATTATATACTATGTTTTAAAATTAAAAAAATATATATTTGATCTTTATAATAATAATTCTTTATGCGTTTAAATTACACAAAATTTTATAATAAAAAAGATAGCATATAATTGTAAACCAAGCCTGTATTGATTACTTTCTTTAATATTATATATATTATTACAATATTATATTTAATATGATAGATTTAATTTTTGTTTAACAATTATTTGTTCTCTTTTATATTATAACATAAAACTTTGTGTGATTCAAATGTATCATGAATTAATATTACAGATGTTTCTAAAATGTATTGTTGAAACTATTAGAAATTATATCGAGTATATAAAAATTAGATTTTGTTTCTGAATTATAATTTTGAACTAATTTGAAAAGTTAATGTTAATATTTTTTACGGTATGTTTCAGCGTAATACCATTCTTATATGTTTACAATACACGCATAAATGATTAGCTATTATAAGCATGTTTTTGATATGTTATAACATTTATGTATGGAATAATTTTCATAAATGTACATGTTAAAGCTTCCTAAATAAAAATATAAAATAATATTAAAATATATATTTTTTCTCTACATGTAGGAGAAATAAAATAAGACTTTTAAAACTGCGGACTCATCTATTAAAAATTTGGAATCTGTAAAACATTTTCAAACAACTTCATTAGGCTGCAATACACTTATATACGCTATGACGAAAGGAAACAATCCATAAAAAATATAATTTATTACGAAGAATTTCAATTTGAAATTCTGTTAAAAGTAGCTCAACCGTATAAGTATCACAAAGAAGTGATACAATGCTTCAACGTTATTTACAGCATTTATGGTATTTTTTACTATTTTACTTTCTTTACTTACTTTCGCTTGTGAATTGAATGGATATATGTATTTCTAAGCACTTATTTAACCACAAAAACTACAACAATGGATACACTCGCAATATATTTTACTTTTTAACAAGAAGCAAAGAAAATAGATATTCCTTATTAGCTATATAAATCTATCAACTTTATGTTCGGGAGATAATAAAAAAAATTTATTTATAAATGTTGTAAATTAGCTGATCGTATAACAAAAATTAAAAGGAACAATAGAATCCTTAATATTTAATTATATTTATTTGACTATTTTACTTTTATGAATTTCAGATCTTGTTATAATATATGTTACAAATTTAATACATGTAATTAGTTATAAATATATACATAAAGTATAGTAATTATTCAAAATTGAACATCAACAGAAAGGTATTGAACCATATTAACTTGAATTGGAAAATTAAAGAGTAAAAATAACTAATTTAGGATTAATTATATTAATATTCTTTACAAATTATTATGATCATAGTATAGTATCAAATATTCCAATTTAGTATTTTGAAAATTTAAATATTTTTAATAAATAAATTATTTCTTCTGTAATAAATGTATGTATGATAAATTATATATTAATATATACATAAAAATTATTAGAAATTATGAAATAACCTAATGAGTTTGAATCAAACATTGAATGTACTATTTTTTTTTAATTTTTACAAGATGTTATACATTATATGTAAATATACAAAATACAATAATACTTACACCATGAAGTTTGTAATATAATCCACATGCATTACATACTGGTTCGCCATTATTATTTCGCCTCCAAAGTGTAGTTGTAGTTGTTCCGCAATTTGCACATCTTACACCTATTCTTCTTCCTCCAACCTAAAGAGATTGTGTCAATTTAGAAATGGGTTAAAGTACTACGAATATAGAACTGGTTAAATAATTCAAAATATTCAACTGAAATAACATTAATATTATAAAAAAAATTAAATATAGTAATATATAAACACACGAATAAAAATATATGGAATCTCAATCTCTGCGTTTCCAATTAATTCCTTAAATTAGTCATAGAAATATAATATACTATATAATAATTCGTTTTTTTTAAACTAATTAATTTTATCAACTACTGATTAACAAAAACAAAGAATACATTAAACAAAGAATTAATATTTAAGGTATTTGTTATACTTGTTCTTTAAAGTTTTAATTTTAAGAATTTTTAATCAATTATAATTACTGTTTCCTGGTTAGCTTTTCTTATGATAGTAACTGATATTTTTAAACTAATAACTAGATATAATAAATTGTTCGGCTCACTAGTATATAATATTTGTTCACCAAATATAGTTTTTATTTATCTAGGGTATATAAATAATATACATAAATTTTCGAATAGTTTTTTTAATATTTTCAGAAGTTTTATGATTAAATTAAATTTCAAATATAGTATTGAAGTCAATTTCCATAATTTGTGCATGAATTTATAATTGTGCATATTTATAATTTACATAACCTAGTCAAACACATTTAATAAATGAATATTATATAAAACTGAAGCCACTTTCTTCTCTTTGAATAAAATATTTGATCAAAAAAATACAATTACGTTGAAAAAAATTTGTATTTTTATGATATATTTTAATTACATATTTATTGTTATAGAAAGAAACATAAGGGATTCGTAGAGATAAATTTATCCAAGGATCAACGAAAATGATAGAAGGCAATAAAATCTATTAAAATAACAATAAAATAATGAGACAATTTAAATAGTTACAATGTTATTATTAAAACACATCTGAAATAGATAATTTTTCTACAATTCATTTGCTTTTATCTCTGCTACTCAGGCTTAGCTTATATTTGATGCATTAAGTTAATTTGCATTTTCTTGTTAATTATTTAATATATATAAGATTAATTTTTGGTTTTATTAATACCTTATAAATTACTGAAACTATAATGAAAGATGATAAATTAAAAAAATAAAATTATTTTATTAAGTTTGTAAAATTCCCTTTATCACTTTATAATATACCACGTATTTATAGTATACCGTGTTACATTATTTATAATTACTAATAATTATTTTTATTGAATTGTAGAAGTTAGTACAATAAATTGAAATAATATATAAAAGAAGAGAAAAGATAGTGATGTAAAATTGCAATTATTAAAAAGGAATTTAATACTAATACTAAGTGTCAGTTTTAATGTTCATTTATTGAAAGAATAATAAACTAGATAGACAAAAATAATGTAACATATATTTGTAATAGATTTGCAGAATAATTTGAAAAACTAATTTATAATACAATAAGGATTAGAAAATACGATCACAAAGCTATAAAATTAATTTATATATAATTACTATGATTATAACTAACTAATTATAACTTAATAATAATAAACTAATTGTAATTATACCGGCTATAATTAAAATAATGTGTATAGAAATTTACTATACAAAAATGTAAAAAAAAATTGAAAGAATACAAAGATTAATTCTGTCTATATGTATAATTGCTAACTAAAAAAATAGATATAAGTATCTGCATGAAGAAATATGTACAAGGAAAATTAAAAATATTAATATTATAATATAAATTATAATAAAAATATTAAGATAGTAACGATTGAAAATATTTACTAATTGATAAACTATAATTAAATTATATATTACATAAGTTGCACTAATAAACTTTAAATAAAAACTTGTACTTCGATAAGAAACTTATTATTACTAAAAAATTAATAAACAATATTGTTTATAAAATGTATTAAGGGATAAATAAATTGAAATAATTAAAGTTATTTCAACATTTTATATTATGATATATGAAATTTATTCACAATATATGAAAAAACAAATTATATATAAAACATAAAAACAATAAATTTATGATTGTATTTTATAAGAAAATAAAGTAAAAAGAGTACGTGTCATTTTTATATATTTCTTAATTTTGATTGATTAGATATTAACGATACGCTTATGTATAAAATGTATTTATATAATCTTGATTAAACATTATCCGCAAATTTTAAACTAGAACAAATTTTAATTTAGAAAAATACAAATATATTTAACCAAAATAAATATATCATTATAATAAAATATTACTTTACAAATACTTGTTTAATAAATACTTGATCAATGTTATAATGTAAAAGCATAATAGAAAATACAATAAATTGGTTAATTTAATCTATTCACTTTACCATATGATTTTAATATATTAAATAAAATACTTTAAATACATTAATTTTGAAGTAAAATAAGTTTGAGATAAAATAAAGATGAAAATTTGAGAAAGTTTGTACTTAAAAAAAATATCCTTTTATGTTGTAAATTAAAATTTGAAATATGAAGTTTAATTATAATTTAAATAAGAGAATTTATAAAAAAAAAAGATAATGTTAAATATTTTATATAATGCCGACTGATAAATTATAAGATCGACAAATAAACTAATCTAAATAAACAAATCTAAAATCTTTTTTTAATTTAAATGTTTGGGATAATATTTAGAGTAAAACAGTGCAATAGAAGAGAATAATATTGGAAATTAACTAATATGAGATAGTAAGAGAATTTTCTATGTATTGAAGTTCTAAGAGGAATTAAATAAAATAAATTATGATGGATAAAGTAAATAGTTAGAAGGATTAATATTAAGAAAAGCACTTACATAGTTTTGGTAGAAAAACAAGAAACTAAAAGAGTTTAAGTAGATCACCATGAAGATGGGAAGATAACGTTAAAGTGAACGAGATGTAAGGCACATTTGAGAATCCTGGATGTATTTGACACAACATAAAACAAAGTGGTATTCTTATATTATTAATTAAATATTAAACTTTCAACGTGTAGTGAAATCTATGTTACACTGCTGAACTTTAATTACAAAATTTAAATTCGATGAAGAGCTTAATTTTATTCATAAATTATTTTATATAAATTATTCATGAACATTATAAGATAAATAGTGATACTTAATCAATACCATAGTATCATATACTACTAAGCATGATAAATAAAAAGTGTGTAGTTATTAAAGATTTATATTTTTAAAAACTAATAATAATATTTATATATTAAAATTTAAATAATTTGAAACAGGGTAAAATTTATAATTTCAATAATGGAAACTTTCACGTATAAATTAAAAAATATGAATTCATAATATATTTAATTTTAAACAATGAAAATAAAAAATAGTAATTTCACACTCACCGGTAGTACAGACGTCTTAGGTTTTACACGTTGCACAGGCGGTCTATTCATTCCATTCGCTTTGCAATAAATTCCACAAGCATTGCACAAATACAGACCAGTTCCATCTTTTCGCCAAAGCGGTGTTGTATTAGCACCACAGTTTACACATTCCTTTGATTCATTATTTAAGGACGTACCTTCAAAAGCTTCATCATTATTCGGTAAAGGTATTGTTGTCCAAGGTGATGATGGCCCACTAGTTATATATGAACCATTAGAAAAAATCATACTGCTTCCATCGCTTGTTGAAATAGCAGGTACGCCCGTATAGCCCTGTACATAGTCAAAAGTTTGAGGCGGTGAGGATCCACTTGTCGTTGCCCAATATTGATCATTTGCAGGCTTAGCAAATTGATATGTAAGCGTTCCATTTGGATAGAGGTTAACCTGGGAAGGAGAAGCTGGTTGCTCGTACTGAAGAGAAGCTGAACGCATCAGTGAAGAAGAGGTTAAAGTCGGATCACTTTTTACGTAAACACCGGTTGTATGCTCAATCTAAAAAATATATAATATTTGAACATTTTATTTATATTCATCTTACTTTAATAATAATCTGAAACACTTAAACCGCGCAAAATTAATTATTTAATATTATATGAATAAAATTGACGTTCATAATCCTTAAAAATCTTTTATTTAATCGTTAAATTTAATTTCATAAAAAAATCGTTTTAAGAGTTTATGTAAAAAATGCTCTTTTAATTATTAATTCACATAAATACATTTATATATTAAATTAAAACCTTTAATATAATATTCCAACAAGTTTTTTTTTAATTTGTTCTTTTATACATAATTTATCTTACTTAAATATTCCTAAAATAATATTTATTTATTAGTTTTCAAATTAGTTAGTATAATAATATCAGTATTTAAATAAAATAGTTATAATATATATAATAATAATGAAAATGAAAAATACATATTCTATTACAATTAAGTTTTAAGTTACAAAGGAAGATTTATATATCTCTTACCTCACCAGTTTTTGAAGCTTGACTAGATGCTGGATAAATGAAAATTTCTTGATGTTTGGGATAACTATAATTAGAAGGTGTTTGCTGAAATGCCTCTGAAGTAATATACTGTGCATATGGAATTGATTGAGTTGATGAAAGAGGTACGGTTTCCAATGTAGTATACGTACTTGATGCTTTTAAACTATCAGCGGCGATACTAACTTCTGTGCTGTATTTTACAGTACCAGTTGCATCGGTATAAGCTGTTGCTATTAAGTGTTGTTGTTGGATCTGTTGATTTGGCCTAATAAGATCCAATGATGAAGAAAAATTCTGCGCAGAAGAATTGAGATGCATCCCGTTGCTGGATTGAGAGACCACCGCATGTGTTTCATAACTTTCCCCTGCTGATGTGCCATTAGGTGACGCTTGATAGCGACTTAGAGGCGGACCCTGCGCTGTATCAGGCGGACTGAATCGTTGATGGGAAACTTGCTGAATCTGCGATTGATTTGAAACACCTTGACGTTGGTGCTCTTGTATTGCTATTACTTGTGCATCGCGTCTTAATTCCGAATCCTCAGAATATGTTACGTATGTTACACGATCAAGTTCTAAGCGTTCTGGAACTGGTGTTTCATACCTAACAAAAAGTGAAAAGTAGTTTTAATACTAATTGTATGATTATTTATGTAATCTAAAAATATATTTTCATTTATTCAAATTTATTATATGAAAGAATAAATTTATTTATGTACTAATTTACTATTTTATATTTTATACAACTTTCATATTTGTAATAATTGATTATTCATATTTCACTATTCATTTTAGGAAAATATTAATGATGAAATTAACAATGTTTCCTTTAAAATAAAACTTTTTTATTAGACTATATCCAAACACTCAATATCGTCAATCTAGTATTAATTGTTTCAACTGTTTAAAATTTAGATAAATTTTTATATTTAATTTACTCTACACATTACAATAATATATCAAATTAATCTTTCCTTATTATAAACAGTTAACTTAAAATATATTTTTAAAGAGCATAACGAACGAATCATTCATTTATCCAATCGTCCATACGAATCTAATTTATTTGCTTTTAAATAATAAGATTATTTATATTTATTATAAGATATCTATACACATTAATTTACCTCGTCGGCTCTTCAACGGTCATAGTAATGGTTGATTCCACGGATTCCGATTCTTCAATTTGCATTTCATGACTATTTGTAGATGTAAAAATAATATGCTGTTGGTGCTTCGGATGTTGATGCTCAATTACTCGTTGCTGATCTTCTGGACTTTGTTCATGAGATATACGTATGTTGTATTGATGCTTTTCCGAATAAGCAGGTGGTTCTTGACTTTCTTGCTTAATAGTTCTAGTTGGATGACTTTGAGAATGTTGTTGATGAATAATATGATGCATTTCCGTTTGTACAGTTTCTGGCGAAGTTGATTCAGAATTAGCTACGCATTCTGTTATTTGACCAGTAGTAGTTATTGTGCGTACATGTCGACGACTTGTTATAACACTTCGCGGATTATTCATAGACATATGCTGTTGCTGAGCCTGTTGATGCTGATCTATTTGCGAACGACTCATCTGATGAGAAGAATTCTCTTCTATTCGATGACTATCCCACTCTAGTTTTACATCATGTGTTTGAAGATTTTCTTTCATTGTATCCTAAAACCAAAAATTAAAAAAAATGAATTATGTTTTTTTTTAATTTCTAATTTTTAAATATATTATTTTCTTATATTTTATTGTAAATTTAAAAACTTAATTAAGATTTTTTAACAATGTTTATATTAACAATACAATATTCATTTTTCATTTACGATGATTAAATATTATAATATAATATTATAAAATTTCTCGATAAATGAAATTAATATAAAAGCAAAGTATTTAGAATAAAAGCATTTATTGAAAACCTTCAATTTTTGTTAAATAAAAACAAAATTTATTTCAATTATATATTTAATTAAATACAATTTAATATATCTTATTAATAACAGTTGATATAATAGGATTCATGATATTGAATGTAATTCTTTAAACCATTCTTTTAATATTATATAGTATCTGTACATTACTTTTTAAACCTTCATTTTTAATTAGATATATATATATATATATATATTTATTTATATAATACGTAATATGTAAATAGTAAGTAATAATAAAAAAATTTTATTATATTTCGACAAATAGTAAAGAACATTAAATTATTGTTTTCCAATTTTTGTGTATATAACCTTTAAGATATATAATAGAATATTTTAAGTCTTAATTTAAATTCTGCAATTATAAAATATAAAATTACAAAACTTTCATTATTGAATATTTTAAATATTTAGCATTAAAATTTGTTTTAACATATTTCAAAATCAATTTTTTTATCGTTAAATCTTAACTAAAAAAATCAAATATTTAAAACTATAATGTATATTATAATTTATATTATTTATACTAAAATATCTAACACCAAAAATAAATATATGCAGAACCTTTCACTAATTTACAAATATTTAACAAATTTACAATGCTACATAGTATAAGCGTATATAAATATAGTATATAATTAATATATCAATACTATAATAATAATATAATATAATAATTATACTTACTTATTTGTATTTTAAAAATAATAAAGCAATTATATTATTATATGTAATAGAAAAACTTGATATTATTATTTATGAAAATGTCAAACACTTTTATACATTTTATAACAAATTGTTTAATTGTCAAAATATAATAATAAATAGAATTCGTTTCTATTAATTATTTTATTTTATTTTATAACAAGTAAATGAAATTTACTTGTATTATATAGATTTGTTATATTATATAGATGTATTATATAGATAGATAGATACTATATAGATTAATAATATATTAAATATTAATGTATTATTATAATTTTAACTTTTCAGGGAAAAGATATCGGTAAACCATTAATCTTTAAATGAACTGACATTGATAACAGATATTGATCATAGACTATTCAATTATGTTTCTGATTTGTCAACGATCACTTATTTCGATACTTGATTTCAGTATAATGAAAATTATTTTACATGTTACAGTTTTAAATAATATATAAAATATGCGACCACGTATAAATAGATGTATTAATAATATCAATACTTTTGTATAGTATATACTAATATTATTTAATATACGATACAAGCTATTAACATGTTTAAAATGTACAAATTGACTGTATTCATAAAAGTAGAGCTTAATAACTTTAACGTCATGAACATATTACCAAAATTGTTTTTGTTAGATTAATTTTTTGAGAATTATATCCATTATTCTTATTTATTATTCACTTTTACTATTTAAAATATTTCAGTCAGTTCAGGAATTTATACGACAAAACCATAATGTTTGAAATATATTTTATAAATTTTATTTATGTTACGCATTTAAATCATGTATATTTCTATTGTTTTTTAAATTACATTAGTTATTAATACCATTCTAAACGCTTATCGGTGAATATTACGATTCGATTATCTTAAATTTTGTATTAATTAAATTTATTATAATAATGTAAAATAGTTAACGATTTGAATATTCTAGAGTTTATTAAGAATGAGTGTTTATATATGCATATATAATTTAAGTATTTGTAAATTATAAGATTTCATTGTCTGAATACGCTAAATATAATGTTACATATTTATAGAAAATTTTTACATTAGATTTTAGATTTAGAAAATTAATTACATTAAATTTGAGTGTTTTACGTTTCAATATTATGAAATTTAATAAAAAAATATTATTATCCTTCGAAATTAAATTTTAAAAGACCAGTTAAATTATTTATATTAAATATTATATATAAAATTAAAGCTGTTAAAAATATTTGTAAAAATGAATTTCAATATTGGCTTTTTATTATTATGTAAACATTACAAATATGTATGTATTTATGTATTGAGTATATATATAAATAAATAAATATGTGTGTGTGTGTACATTTATTGCATATATTATAATATTTTCAATTTTAACTTTTATTTTAAATACACATTAAAATATTTAAAAAAATAAGTTATATAATTAAGAATATACAACAAGAATTATAAATTTTAATCAATAAATAACTAAAAATTATTTATTATGGACAATATTATTAAGATATAAATATTAATTCATTATATTTATATCTTAATGACACTTTATTTAGTAAAAAATAGTTATTCAATGTATAAAATTGTCCTAGTTTTAAAAAGTTAGCCGTAAATAATACAAGGAATAACAAATACTATTAGATTCAGCACTATCAGTTTACCTGTATAATAATCATAAGCAGCTTTGATCTCGTCTTAAAAAGCTTCAAAAAGTTAATAAAAAATCATTTCAAATATATTAACAAAACCTCTCGTCGATATAATCGTCTTCATTATTTCGTCATGTCTCTCAATGAGGTGCGACACACCTCATTCGCCTTTAAGAAAAAATGCGAGATGTGTTTGCTCTCGCGCACTCATCGCTTCCGCTCGACAATGTCAAGTTTCAACTTCCGCTGTCATTAGAAAAATTGTCGTTAATGTAAGCACAAACCTTCGAACACAATACAGCTTCCTTTCTTTTATTTTACTTTACTAAGTTCTTTATTTTCCACGTTTAGTTTTTTAAACATACCATACGTATTTTTTTCGGCATACAAATTTTTATGAATACATTATCTATTTGGTATGCGGACGTCTGCCCATTTTACATTTCAAAGCTTTGTTTAATAAGTCGATTTATTGACATCTTATTAAACGTTATAATGAAATTTATTTTGATTTTTCTATGTATTGTTTTTAATATACTACCTAAGTATAATGTGTAATAAATGAATAAAGAACAAAAGTTTAAACATAAATTCGGTTTATTAAACGGTATTAATAAAATAAAAAATAAATTGTAGATTAATAATTTTCAATTTATAAGTATTTATTAAAAAATGTACCACAATAACGTTATTTTCTCCAAATATAATTCTTAATTAAATAAATGTTTTGAATTTACATCTTTTTTATAAACTTCAATTTTTTTAAAAAATTTCAAAATTAACAATTTTATATAAAAACCAAATAATGTTTTATTTTATTCATTTATTGTTGCTATTGTGATAAAAATATAAATATTACTTAAAATTTTTAAAGATATATCCAATATTTAAACTTTTTATCAATATATACTTAATCATTTACCTGAAAAAATAAATTATTAATCAACAGTGAACTTTCAATTAATTTTCAATATTTTGATTTTATAATATTTGTACTTTAAAAATAATTTTATTAATTAATGTATTTACTTAATAATTTGAATTGTGGAAAGTATATGATCAAAATGGGCATTCAAACAAATATTGCATTTATATAAAAATATTACAAAAACGTTCTACGAAGATTGAACGTTATAAATAATATATCAGATTTTTTACTTGGAATATACTTCAAATAAAAGTGTGGCTTAATTTTTTCTGAAGTTATTTCATTTTGACATGTATATGCACTATTTTCCCCATTGGAACACGTGGAACTTATTAATCGACGCCATCATGGTATATTATTGTCTTGCTTTTTATATTTTTATACATTTTGCATTAAAATATTTTTACTTAGAAGATACTTGCACGTATATTTATGAATTTTTCTTTAAGCTTACATATAATTAATATTCAGTTGTACCACTTATACTTAAATTACGGTTTTATCAAAATAATTTTTTCAATGGTTTTAAATCTATTCTGTTATTCACTAATTTCATTGAAACTTGTAAATTATACAAATTAAATACATATTCTTATTATTTTCTAATAAAATAGATTACAATATATAATAAAGAAATTAATGCATTTATTGTAATTATGTTTTACCGATTTTCAATTGTTATCAATAAATATAATTTGAATAAATAAATACAATAGCTATTTCATGTTCATATAAAGGGAAAAATTATTTAAAAATTATCTAATTATTCCAAAATATATCCGTTTTTCATATATTTCATGTTGTATGGATGACATTTGTCTAATCATTCGACAAATGAGAAAATAATCAGTTCAAAATGCTAAAATATAAATGGAGTATCAAAATTTATAATTATGGATGTATAATTAAAATACACATAAACGAAAAAATAAATGTATTTAAATAAATACAAATTAAAAATATCTAACAAAGATGCATAAACACAAACTTTACCTCTATTGGTGTCAATCGCATTTAGGTAGATGATTTAAATAACAGTCTTCAAAATTGCAGAAAAATTGGAAAGAAAAAGATAAAAACTTTACGCGCTCTTCAAACACCAATCTTTCCGATTGAATTATTTTCTTGTTATCTTGTAAAACAGAATAATAATTTAATAATATAACAGCTGTTGGCCAGTTTATATCGTCAGAAAATTATTCGTTATGTTATCCACACGCCATCAAACCCAAGAGATTGAGCGACTAGTCGATTTCCGTTGTGCCAAGAACAGAGCACAATTTCGAACTGAAGAAAAATATTCGTTGCGAGGTGCAGATAAGAGAGCTCATGCGTAGAAGTGGAAAAATGGCAGAGTGGTTGTACAGTAGAAAAAAGATGACTAGCACTCGTTTACAATTTACCTGAACAGTATAGAGGGAGGGGACAAACTGACAGTCGGAGTGAGAGTAGATTACTAAGAAAAAGAGAATTTTAGTCTCCATTATGATTCGAAAATTAAAAAAAAAACGTAAACATACTAAAGGAATAAGAGTCAATAAATATAATAATTTGATAATAATATATTTTAATAGAATAATAAGAAAGGAAAGTTAAATAAGAGAAGATATAGGACAGAAGACAGGTATACGTATGTATGTATGTGTGTATGTGCGCATAGTGATATATATATATATATATATATATATATATATATATAGAGAGAGAGAGAGAGAGAGAGAGAGAGAGAGAGAGAGAGTGATTGAGTGCGGTAGAGTGGGTGTCTATATTGGGTATTACCGTGTCTTCTACGACATTTAACAGGAACGTCCCCTTTTTTTCATTGGACAATAATAGTCACTTTCTTCTTTTCATTGACTTCATGCAATTTAATTCAATTATTGTATATTCAGTAATATAATGTGAATGCTTATTTTTAATACTCTAGTACAATATAAATCGTATAAATATTTTTTTTCTATTTTTCTAATTTTGTATTCAATACAAAATTTACGTTAACTAAAAAAAATAACTTCAATCTGTCAAATATAAATTTTGATTTTTATGATTATAAAATCTAAAACAATTATACAATATTGTCAATAATAATCTTTTTTATAATATTATATAATAAATGTTAAAAATATATTTGATAATATCATTAATTACAATAGCATAAATGAATTACATACACTCTTTTGAAAAAATATATTGCATATTAACATAAATTTTTATAACATTCATCATGTTTGTTTTTAAAATATTATTTAATTTACACTATGATAGCATGAATATTTTATCATAAATGAAATTAATACAATAATATATTAGCTGATTATTAAACTATAACCAACAAAAATATAATTCTATATATAACTATAAAATATTATTTATTAATAATTCTATTATTTATTAATAATAAATAATAAGAGAAAAACCTATATTGTAACGAAATTTTAAAATACAAAAGCATCAAATTATTTTATTACATAAATTAATAGAAATTTTTAACAATTCTGAATATAATAATTAAAATAATAAAGTTAGAATTATATATTAAATTACTAGATTGGATAAATTAAAAATATAAGCAAATTTTTTGTTGTAAATAATTCAATTTTTAGAATAAATATTATTGTATATATACATTATATAACATAATAGTAACAAGATACATTAAATCAGAACATATATGTATTAAAATAACTATAAACTTTATACAATTTAAAATAATTACATAGGCAGTAAGTTATGAACTTAATGAATGATGGCAAAATATTTTTTTATTATTTAAATTGAACCATTATTTAAATAAAATTTTTAAAAATTTGAAGGGGATATCTTTCTATAACTACCTTTGACATATTTAATTATTTAAGTTACTATTTTTTGTATAATCCCAGTGTCACACTAATAAACACTCTCACTTATTTGAAAATATATATTATGTTTTAAAAAAGAAGCACAGATGAGTAGTAATTACAACTAAACGTAAGTATGATTCTCTGAAGTACATTTCAAAGTAAATTACATAGAAATATCTTTATATAAATGCATTACTTATAATACATATATTACTTATAAATTAAAAGAAATACTATGTTATCTCCTACAAAGAAACAAATTGCGTTCTTAAATACAAGTAACTTTATAAAAGATATATTTGAAAATTTTTCTAAGTAAAAATTATTACTACATTTATACTACAATATTATAATAAAGGACTGAAAATATATATTATAATATGTATCTATATATACGAAAATTTTAATAATCATTAAATGGTCTTATATTATACTTTTTAAAAATACTAAAAAAACTTGTTTTTCTAATGTATAATAACGATTTTTAACTAAATTTTAATTTTTACCAAGAGAACAATAAAGTTAACTTCAATAATTTGATATGAATATAGCTCTAGAGTTTCCAAACAATTTATTACAAATACTGCGTATGAGACTTGCACATCTGGAAAGACCAGTAAATTCTTTCTTTGCTATGTAAACGTAACAGTTCATTCGTGTATAAATAAACATAAAACAAAAGCAACTGTGTAAGATTGTGAAAAAACAAAATATAATTGATAAAAAGTAAGACTTAAAAATATTATTTAATTGATATCAATTATCTTTAGATTTCTTAACTTGCCGGAAAAGAGAAAGGGGAAAAATAAGTGCTTTATATAAAATATAAAATTACTCGCTCAATATGCTTTTATATGATTGACACAAAACGGGCAGAAGGCGACAAATATCATTGTTTACCTATACTGATAAGATTTTGTCGCAATTGCTAGCGAAGTTAAAGAGAAAATGAGATAGAGAACGATGAGTAAAACAAGACAAAAAATAGTTTGTTCGCTAAGCTGATGCCATCCGGTGCCACAGAGTCGCATGAAAGGCTTACCGGTGCCGCCATTTTGAAGTTGTGATCTAAAATACAGGTTATAATAGACTAAAAGTATGATTTTGTCATCAACTAATATATCAAATTAATGAATGTCAATCTTACATATATATATATTTATTTAATATAATGTTAATACTTCATTTTATATAAAAGTTGTATATTTTGTATATAGTTTCAATAAAGGTTTTAAATTGAATATATATGTGAAAACAAATATATATATATATATATATATATATATATATATATATATATAACAAAATGATGTTATATCAATAACAATTGTTAACTAATGAAAATAAGCACCAAAATATTAATCATCCAACAAAATAAAATATTAAGTAAATAAATATATTTATATATTAAAAGTATTTTAAATATAAAAATATGCGTGTGAAGACATATATGAATATATATATTGAATTAAATATTTTATTTCAATTCAAATTCTATTAATATTAAAAGATTTACAATTTTAAACTTAATTAGTATTTATTTAATATATGTTTAATTTCAACAAGTATTTAACTATTTAATCTTTAATTATTTTTTATTAATATATAAATCTACAAATTGTATTATAGTTTGAATCTATAATAGATTATAGTTTGAAATAATTAATATAAATATATTTAACATTAAGAATAATAATAGAAATGTTTTAGTTATTTATTTATTTTATTTTTATTTTCTTTGTAAAATTTATAATTATATTTTTTTGATTTTTTAAATTATATTTTTAAATTGTAAGTAAATTTCACAATCAAATTAAAACAAATTTGTACATAAACAGAAACACACTTTATATTTGGAACGAGAATTTTGTTTGCTGAACACTCAATTGTAATAGCATTAAAGTTTTGAGAATTGTGCGATGAGTTCAACACAATAAAATGAATCAGTGTATATATTAAGGATTGTTCTATGACATAGTGTAGGACACTTTCAACAAATATATTTTTACTGGAAATGAAAAGAAAAAGAACAAGTAAAGAGATGGAGATGGATAGAGAAAAGAAAAGAGAAATTGAGATCTGATATAATTTACAATATTTCAAAAGAATGAAAATGTACTTCCCCAAACAAATAAATTATATTGCAGTACCATAAAACTAGCGCAGTCTGTAAAAACTTATTTGTCATCAGATGCATTTCTATATTGAAAATTTTGACAATAATATTATTGACCGATGAGTAATGAATTGTGTTGAAAAATGTAACAGGAAATTAAAATTATGCCAGTTTAGTTTATAATTTTTAAGTGTTTTGTACTAGAAATAATAACAAGTTTGTGTATTTTTATTGAGCTGTTCAAGATCGAAAAATAGTACAATATTTTAACCATATTTAAAAATTGTTGTTAAAGTAATTATATATACACGCGCGCACACAGACACATACATATATATAATCTACTCAGAATCATCATCCTAATATGATTTATAATTATTATTATTTTATAAACTATTTTAAATTAATAATATTCTTACTGCTGCTCTGAATATTGGTACATTTAACCATTACAGTAAATATATATTTATTACTTTTTATGTCAGAATACAGTTCATATTTTTACTATTTCACTTTCTTTAATTATAAATTAATTATTCAAAATCTTAAAAGTAAAATTAGTTGTATTCATATATATAAAATATAAATATATTAAAAATTTATTTAAATATAAGTAAATGAATAATAAATATTATTCATTGCTTGTTATTTGTTATTTATGTTTATTTATAAAATTAGTGATGTATTGTTTTTATTAGATTAAGGTATATGTATTATATATAAGTTTGTGTTATATATATAATTTTAACTAAATAATAACTTGTAAAATTAAAAAAAAATTTACATTTTCTACGTAATTCATTTACGTTAAAAAATTTTCTTTTCAAAATTTTTCAAAATTTAAAATTATTTTCGTTGATTATTATAACTGAATTATTTAATTGTTGAATAATTCTTCTAATCTTATTAAATAAATAAAATTATTTTAAAAATATGTAAAAATACAAAAATAATTTATAAATATGTTATAATTACTACAATCATTTCATTAAAACATTTTTAATCAATTATTAATTTATGTTCTTCTTATATATTTTGTTAATTTCATTAATTTAAACATTTAATAAAACTTATAAATTATTAGTTATAAAATAATCATTTGATTTAGTAATGAAGATTTGCA